TGGCAGGGAGGAGGCAGGGGACCAAGCTGCCCGGGGCGTGGTGCCACCGCCGGGGGGCGCCCTGTACCGTCGCGTTGTCCCTTTAAAGTTGGCGAGGGGCTGCGGAACCCGGCTGTGCTCCCGCCCGCGGCGAGGGCGCGTGGCCCGCAACTGCCCTTGACTCGCCCGCTTCCCCCGCAGGGCCGGGCGTGGACGCCCCGGGACCGCCGAGACTTGAGGGACGGCGAAGCGCTGGCCGGCGTCGGGCGGGAGCCGGCGCTCCGGAGCGAGATGGAGGCGGCGAGCGGGGACGCCGGAGCTGGCCACGAGTAGCTGCGGGATTCCCGGACTCGCACTCCCCCGGCACCCGGGCGCTGCCCTGAGGCTGCCATGGAGGTGCCTACCGTCAAGGACTTCCAGTGGAAGCGCCTGGCGCCTCTGCCCAGCCGCAGGGTCTACTGCTCCCTGCTGGAGACCGGCGGACAGGTTTACGCCATCGGGGGATGTGACGATAACGGAGTCCCCATGGATTGCTTTGAGGTCTACTCCCCCGAGGCCGACCAGTGGACCGCCCTGCCCCCCTTGCCCACAGCCCGGGCCGGGGTGGCCGTCACCGCACTGGGGAAGCGGATCATGGTGGTCGGGGGTGTGGGCACCAACCAGCTGCCCCTGAAGGTCGTGGAGATGTACAACATCGATGAGGGCAAGTGGAAGAAGAGGAGCGTGCTACGCGAGGCCGCCATGGGCATTTCTGTCACGGCCAAAGGCAAGTGGGGCCAGGGCCGAGGGCGGGCAGAGAGAAGGAAGTGGGGGCCACAGGGGAAACCGGCACTGATCTGGGGGCCGGAGGTGTGGCCTGTGAAGTTGTGCAATGTCTGCAGATTCCTGCATTCAGCAGAATGACCGCACCTCCCAGCTCCAACCCAGCTCCTGATACCTGCCTTGTAGGACACCTATCTGGGGTCCTGAGGATATTCACGCCATCCTTGTGCCAACACCAGGTCCCACTGAGAGGGCTTTGGAACCAGATTCCAGAACCCTCTTCCACCTTCAGCCTCCCACTCTGCCTCCCAATCTCAGAGATGCTAAGTGGAGACCAGAATGTTCCTGAGATGTGCTCCTGCCGCATCTTGCCTGGGTTCACCAGGTTCTCAGGGCATGCGTGTCCAGACTGCGGGGTGTTCTCATTTTGCTGTCTCGGAGTCCTTCATTTCATTCTTTTTGGGCACAGTATAGCCCAGAGCATAGAGGGTTTTATGGAAAATGGTTAAGTGAGAGTTGGGAGACTGCAAGTTCAGACATGTGCCTGGGCAGCACAGGCTTGCAGTGGGGGGCAACCTTCCTTCTGTCTCCTCTCCTTCCCTTTCTCTTCTGCTAAACCATCCTCGCTGCCTCTGGCCTTTACTATAGACCAGAAACAGGTGTTTCTTGAGCACCTGCTGTATCCCTGGCACAGTGCCAGACCCCAGGGAGGAGGGAAAGAGGCAGGAGATCTGTTCCCTGCTTTCAGGAGCCCAGATCTGATGATTAAAGGTGACTAGAGAGAAACTCTAGCACAGAATCTCCCAGGATAGGGTGGGCAGTAGGGCTTTCATGACCTCCCAGTAAGAAGAATGGAAGGCCTGGAGACCCACGGGGAGCAAGGGAGGAAAAGAGTATCCTTTTATCCTCAGGCTTCAGAAGTGGTGCTGAAAAATTAAGAACTAACATTTATTGAGTCCTTATCATTGGTGCTGTGTATCTATTAACCCTTTTGATTCTCACAACCTGTCCAATGAGGCAACTACCGTTATTATTCCCATTTTAGGAAAAATGTTGTGAGGCCCAGAAAGGTTAAATTGCTGGTCCAAGGTTTCACAGCTAGTAAGCAGTGGTTGAGTCTATGCTCTTACTGTGGCATTGAAGGGGTTCATTTAATAAACATTCACAGCCGGGTGCAGTGGTACATGCCTGTAATCCCAGCATTTTGGGAGAGCGAGGCAAGAAGGTTACCTGAGCCCAGAGATTCAAGACCAGCCTGGGCAAGTTGGGTGACCTCATCTCTACAATAAATAAAAAAATTAGCTGGGCGTGGTGGCACACGCCTGTAGTTTCAGCTACTTGGAAAGCTGTGGTGGAAGGATCGCCTGAGCCCAGTAGATCGAGGCTGCGGTGGCCATGAGCATGCCACTACACTCCAGCCTGGGTGACAGACTGAGACTCCAACTCAAAAATTAAATAAATAAATAAATTGGCCGGACTCAGTGGCTCAGCCTGTAATCCCAGCACTTTGGGAGGCCGAGGCGAGTAGATTGCCTGAGCCTGCGGGTTCAAGAACAGCCCAGGCATCTTGGCAAGACCTCATCTCTACAATAAAATACAAAATAGCTGGGTGTGGTAGCGTGCATCTGTAGTTCCGGCTACTTGAAAGGCTGAGGTGGAAGAATCGCCAGAGCCCAGCAGGTCGACACTGGGGTGGCCATGAGTGTGGGTGCCACTGCACTCCAGCCTGGGCGAGAGAGTGAGACTCCAACTCAAAAAATAAATGAATAAATTAATTAGTTAATTAATTAATTTAATTTAATAATAAGCATCCATATCCCTTTGTGCCTGGCATTGTGTCAGGTTCCAGGGCTGCAGATTGACAAATTCTCAAGCCGTATAATCTATTGGAAGAAGCAGTAACACGTGGCAAGTGGGATGATGGAGATACCGCTCAGGAGGCGCTGACCCCATGCTCTTGGCCCAGGCTTTCAGTTTAGGGACACATGGATGGATCTAAGAGGATAAGTAAGAGTTTGGCACAGATGCAGTAGTGTGGCATGGGTGGGAGGATTCCCAGGAGGAGGTGCTTCAGGTAATACAGGGGTAAGAGGGTGACGCTTGTACAAGGTGATTTTCTTACTATCAGGCTCCATCTCCCAGCCATAGGCTAGGGTTGGCACTTTTTTTCCAGTAAGACTGGAAAGTAGAAGGAAATAGTCCTCATCCCTACAATAACCTTAAAGAATAAAGACCTCTTAGAGCCAGAAAAAGGGATTACTGGCTGCTGGGAGACAAGAGTCCCAGGCAGGGGTGGGTTCCTGAGAAAGACAGAAGGTCCTGCCCGGGCCCTGTTTACCTGACAGGCCTAGGAGCTCCTGGGGTGAGGCCCAAGGAAACACAAATGCCTTGCTCATCCTCTCTAGTGCAGTGTGTTAGGGAAGTCGCTCAAGAGGCCACCTACAGCCTAGAGCAGTAGAGACGAGGAGAGGACTTGCTTCTCAGAATGCCTTCACTCACTGCCTGCAAGGGGCTTCCCCTCCTAAGCCTCACTCTCATTCACCCCCAGTCTTTTTTCTTTTTTTTTTTTTTGAGTCGGAGTCTCACTCCATCGCCCAAGCTGGAGTGCAGTGGCATGCTCCTCCAACGTCAACCCGCTGGGCTCAGGTGATCCTTCCGCCTCAGCCTTCCAAATAGCCAGAACTACAGGCATGCACTACCACGCCTGGCTAATTTTTTCATTTATTGTAGAGATGAGGTTTCACCAAGCTGCCTAGGCTGGTCTCGAACCCCTGGCCTCAAGTAATCCTCATGCCTCAGCCTCCCAAAGTGCTGGGATTACAGGCTTGAGCCACCGTGCCTGGCCCATCCCTAGTCTTATTCCATTTAGTGCACGTGTCTCCCTGATCCCATAAACCTCCCAATTTTGAGAGGAAGATGGCATTCCCCCATGGGGTGGCTGACATAGAGAGAACCAGCAGCAGTCCTGTGTCCCACAGACCAGTTACAGTGGGGCTGACCTCATTTTTAAAGACCTTGCTATCTGCTATATCTAGAGAATTCCAGTCTGGGAATGCCTGGGGAGCAGGCCAGGGAGTCAGAAGAATACCCTTCTTTGGCTTCCCCTCTGGCTGCCAAGGGAGAAGAGGACAGTGGAGGGGATAGGACCTGCAAAGAGTTGTCCAGGCCTAGACTTCATATGGTCTACCCCTTGCAGGACTTAGTGTCTTGGTCTTAGCTGAGAGCTGTACACCAAAGAAGGCTAAGGCATGCAGTTCTGCTGTGGCTTCCAGAAGACCCAGGCAGCCGTGGCAGGTACTTGGTACCATCAACCACAGGGACATAGATATGGTTCACTGTGGCAGAGAAGTGGTTGGGAACTTGGCCTGACCATGGAAGGTGATAAGTGCTGGTAAGTCTGTCTTGTGATATCTGTGAGCTAAGCCAGGGGTATGTGTGACCTTTTTTTTTAGATTACCGAGTGTACGCAGCAGGCGGGATGGGCCTGGACCTCCGTCCACACAACCACCTCCAACATTATGACATGCTCAAGGACATGTGGGTGTCACTGGCACCCATGCCCACCCCGAGATATGCTGCCACTTCCTTCCTCCGAGGTTCCAAGATCTATGTTCTGGGTAAGAACAGGTTACCTGTTCCACCTCTACCCTCTTTCTCTCCCTCAGATCTGTTCCCCTAGAAAGTGGTACTTGTGTACTGGACATCTCCTTGGGTCTGGGGGATAATCACGCTGCCCCACCCCATCAGGAGCTTCCTGTATGACTGGGTAACAATCAGAAAGGGAAACCCAGTCCCTGTCCTCAGAGACTGTTCTTCGGCCCAACCTCTACCCTGCTCTGGCCCCCAGGTGGACGACAATCCAAGTATGCGGTCAACGCCTTCGAGGTCTTTGACATCGAGACTCGTTCCTGGACCAAGTTCCCCAACATTCCCTGTAAGCGGGCCTTCTCCAGCTTTGTGACCCTGGACAACCATCTGTATAGCCTGGGAGGCTTGCGGCAGGGTCGGATCTACCGGCAGCCCAAGTTCCTGCGGACAATGGACATGTTCGACATGGAACAGGGTGAGCTGGCTGCCAGCCCTGGCCCTAGATTCTCAAGGCCTCCCATGGAAGCTCTGGCTGCCCACAACCCTTCTGGCTGGTTCTATGCACCTTACCCCCATCCCACCCATTTTCCAGGACCGCTTACCTAGGTGGGCAAGTTTCTTGGAAGTCTCAGCACCCTTCTCCACTCAAGGCTACTCTTGATATCAAATTCTTTCATTTGTACAGAGCTCCTTTTTGCTTGGTTGGGTGTTTTTATCAAAACCTTTTCTACCTATTCTGTCTTTTCTCACAACATACATGCAGGACCAGTTCAGGGAGGGATTTCTCCACCTTTTTACTGAAGGAGAACCAGAAGGATCCTGGCTTCTATTCTCACTTCCCTTCCTCTATTAGCCTCCTTTCCAACCTAGTCAAGTAAGAGCAGAAGTCAAGGAGATTCATTGTAGGGCATTATGGCACCTTAGATTGCAGCAAGCATGGAAGAGGGTGGTGGCCATGGATAATTTCAAACAGCAGGAGGAGCTATATACTCCCTGAGCATAAGGGTAAATGGAGTGGAGACACTGCCCAGAGTGAGTGCTATGTAGGACTCAATCTGTATCTGACAGGGGTGGTCAGCATCTCTCTCTATATCCCACCATTATCCACGGCCCCTAGGGGGACGACTACCTTCCTTCTCTCCCTCGGATCAGTTCCCCTGGGAAGCAGTGCCTGTGTGCTGAGTATCTCCTTGGCTCTGGGGGATAATCACGCTGCCCCACCCCATTGGGAGCTTATTCTCATTCTATTCTTCATTCTCTCTGTATATTCCACCATTATCCATGGCATCTAGGGGGATGGCTGAAGATGGAGCGCTCGTTCTTCCTCAAGAAGCGGAGGGCAGACTTTGTGGCCGGCTCTCTGAGTGGACGGGTCATAGTGGCTGGGGGACTTGGTAAGTTTGGCATTTCCAGGATGACATGTATTGTGTTTCTGGTGCTTGGTGGATCCTTGACACTTTGCGTGTGCAGGAGAGTACTGGCATAGCACCTGCCCATTGCTTTAGTCCAAAAAATTCAAAGCACTTCCTTCCTCTCAGCCTGGACGTCGTATATCCACATATGGGCCCAGACATGGTCTTTCTGTCTTCCTGCACAGGGGAAACTGAGGACCAGAGGAAACGAGGGACACACTGATTACCATGTAGCACAGGCTTGCTGAGCACAGATCCCTGGGGTCCTATCCAGGAATAACTGGAGACAAAGTGTGGAGAGGATTAGCCTTGGTCCTCCTTCTCTGACTCATCTCTTCTTGGATACCCAGCTCGATCATGGGATAAGAAAGCAATCTGATTACATAAGTTCATCTAACAATTCTGGAACTTTATGTATTACCCCTCTCAGAGATTATTGGTATTTTGAAGGAGGGACTCAAAGAGTGAAAAATCCAACATCATCAGAAAAGAGAGGTTCAAACAACAGGCACCCCAAGTTTACTTAGTGTGGACAAACTCCTACTTTACTCAGGCATGAGAGGACCATGTGAGTTAGACTATGTGAGTAACTTTTTTAGTAAAAGGCATAATGGAGGCAGCGGTGCTCTAAGGAGCAAAGTATCCGCTTGACAAAAGCCACTGACCCAGGTCCAGGAAGAAGGAATAATAGCCAAGGAAGTGAAGCTTGCTTAGCGCCTGCCTGTGGGTTCCCAAGGAAGGGAGGGAAGTGGGGTGAGGAGATCATGGACTGTTGGTTGGACTTCTTTGTAAGGTCTGATTTCCTTGGCTCTTTCAGGGAACCAGCCCACTGTCCTGGAGACAGCAGAAGCATTCCACCCAGGGAAGAACAAATGGGAGAGTCTCCCTGCCATGCCAACGCCCCGCTGTGCCTGCTCCAGCATTGTCGTCAAGAACTGCCTCCTGGCTGTGGGGGGCGTGAACCAGGGTCTGAGCGATGCAGTGGAAGCCCTGTGTGTCTCTGACTGCTAGCTATCCCTGGGCCTAGCACCTTTGCCCTGGACCTTATCACTCTACTCTTGACATAAGGAATCATCTTGTCAAAGCAGTTTGGGCTACTTCCCAGGATGCCAGCTCCTGTTAGCATCCAGTGGGGTCCAACCCTGGGGCTCTAAGTGACCTGTGTCCATCTCCAAACCCTACTGATCCCAGGAAACTGTAAAAAAGTAATGACTCTACCAGCCCCAGGTGGGAGCTGAACTGACCTCTGGGGAGCATTCCCACTTAATGCACAGGCACAGAAAGTCACAGGAATATCTCCTACCTCTCCCTTCTGTGAGGTCCATCTCTCCTTCCCCCATCCCATCTTCAGGAGACAGGTAGGACAGTTCTGACCCAGAGGATGAGCTGCTGTTGCTGTCCTTTGCCCAGCTCTGAAGTAGTTTAAGGATCTCTTGGGACGAAAATGGAGAAAGATGGGGGGGGTCCCCAAGTCCCTTTCCTCTCCCTTGGTCTGTATCCCTTCCCCATTTGATGGCCAACTGTGGGCCTGCCCTGGACCTCATCTGCTCAGCAAGAACTAGACTTGAAGCTAGAGGCAGCTGCCTGGAAGGGAAATTGGGCTCATGTGGACAGTCTAGGCCAGCAGATGATGGGGAAGCAGCAGACTCTCAGCCCTGGGTCTGCTCACCGCATTGCTCCTCATCCCATTTCACCTTCTGCCACCCCCTCTCCACCAGAGCATGGCTCTTTTGTCACCGAAGGCACCCAGAGTGTTTCTGTGTGAAACCTTCTCATTTACACTGTGGCATCAAAATCCACAAAAGATGGATTAATTGCACTCTGGTTAATAGCAGCAGCACAATGATTAAAATTTATATTCCTATCTTCTCTGGCACCTTGGTGCAGGGGCTTGGTGGAAGGGTGTCTTGACGGATAGAGAGGACCCCTTGAAACAATCCCTCTGGCATTCTCAGGCTAATCAGGGGCCTCCGGGACCACCTATGCTTGGCTGTCCCCTCTGAAGAGTTCTACCTTCTCATAACCACCGTCAGTTGCCCCACTCCAGAGAAAAGAGCATATGTTCCTTCTCTTGTACTGGGACTTCTTGTCTATGTTAGACTTTCATTCAGAATTCTTCAGCTTACTCATGCCTGGTCTCAGCTCATTCAGCTGAGGTTCATTTTTGTCTTACCAAAGTAGAAAGGGAATTGCTCACTGGCTTAAAAAAAACTTGAAGCCTGTGCCTCCTTTTAGCTTGTATAGCACCTCTTTCTAACTCCCAATTATTTTTAAGAGCTAGCAGTGGAGATGCAAGGATGAAGCAAATACCTTCCCCCAAGGGTTGTGGAGGAGTCAGGTAACACTCGTCATGTGACAGTATAATTATTTCTCATGGTGGCAGGAACAGAGGAGGATCGCCTATCTGGATCTGAAGGGTCTAGGGGAGTCTCCTGGAGATATGGGGTGACACCTTCAACTGAATCTTCAAGGACAAGTGAAACCTAGGTCTTTAAAGGAGAGGGTTTTTAGCCACGCTCAGTGGCTCAGCCTGTAATCCCGCACCTTTGGGAGGCTGAGGTGAGTGGATTGCCTGAGCCTGCGGGTTCGAGACCCGCCTAGGCACTTGGCGAGACCTCATCTCTACATAAATCAAAAATAAGCC